GAAGTTGTTGTGTATGTTGCTGCCTGGAAAGTTACCAGTTTGAGTTGGGCAGCTTTGAAAGGAGAAGATAGCGAGATGGCTGGTCTTGGTGCTTTTGCAAACAGGAATTGTGGTCGGGATAGTTGCTCCATGGGTGGTGGGACCAGAGGGCAGCAGCCTGGTTCTCGGTGGTTTATGTGCCACTTGCTCCATCTCTGCAGGAATGTATCTTGTGTTTTGGTTAATTGGAGCTACGTTGTTCTCCTAACAGTGCAGAATGTGCTGCAGAGTCTCAAATGTTCTCACCCTTTATCAGCCAGGATACCACTAGTAGGAAAAGGAATGACTTCAGCTATTTTGACCCAATCTCTGTGTGTGTGTGTGTGGTGCCCAGAATTACTGACACTGATTCAAACAAAACTGGGGTGAACTTCAGTTTGTCGTCCCTGGTCTGAGATCTCTCTGCATGCAGGAAGGGCAGTTTGCTAATCAAGTCTCTTCGCAATATGAATTGAGCTTAAAATTCAGGGCAGTCGTCAATTACTGGTACTGACAGAGGGTCTCGTCTTTCCCCCCTCCAGGCAAGACCTGTATTTTCACGTCCTAGCCTGAAATTGCTTCTAAACTAGAATTCTGGTTTAATCTCCTTTACTGTCTGCACAGGGAACAGGAGGCAGCTTGGTCAGCAGCCACAATTGCTGTAAGCAGGAAAGCACAATGAGGATGTGATTCTAATTTATTTTCTTTTTGTTGCATTTTCTTGCAGGAAAAAAATGAAGCGGGTCTGGGAGAGAGCTGTGGACTTTCTGGCTTCAAATGAGTCACGCATTCAGACAGAGTCGCACAGAGTAGCAGGAGAAGATATGCTTGTGTGGAGATGGACTCAGCCTTCTTACGTCTCGGATTCAGAGCACTGAAGAGGAGCAGAAGTTGAGCAACTGTTGATATGGACCTCTGCAAGGGGACAGTCCCTTCTCTGGTGGTGGGAAAGAGCAGGTTGTGGTCCTAGTCTCCTAGGGTTGGGGATTGCACTTATCTGTTTGCTCTTCTTTCTGAAAATCTTCATACAACAAAAATTCAGGGCAATAACGTTGGCTTGGAAAGAAGATGGGCTTGAGCTGGTGGGAAGCTAGCCTTGCACCAAAGTTAGCCTTCCAGCAGGTATCTGGCTTCCGTAGACAAGCAAACCTAGAACAACTTTTTAAAAATAAAAAAAAGAACACCATACCTAGTATTGAGGGACTTAAGATCTCTCTGACAAAGCTTAAGAGTTTAAAATTTGACCTCAATACTGCAAAGGCCAACTGGTGGCAGTGTCCATCAGGGAATGTGTTTAAAGAGCATTAACATTTCCCATGGAAACATTCGGGTGGCAGTTAAGATGCATTTTGTTACAATTTGTTTTTATCAGTACAGAGACAGTGCTGAAAGCACTTGCTGCGTCTTAGCGAGGAAAATGTTTCAGCTTCACCCTTTAAAAATGGGGGAGAGGTGGAAAAGTCGGGTGAAGGTGGTCCTAGAGGGAGGGCAGTCTGACGTGCCTTGGTTTGGGCTGGGCTGGGTGGGATGGAGGAGTGGTTCTGACCTTGTTATACCTTTTAAGTCTGCAGTCTGTGTGCTTTATGATTTCTGGGGAGGGGTGGGGGGAATTTGGGTGGAAAATAAAGGATGTAGGAAGCTTCAGAAAGCGCTTTCTTGCAGCTACAGCCAAAGGGACTGCTTCATGGGCTATTAAAGAGCAGCTTTGGAAAGGCTACTGGGGCTGAATGTACATGTTTGTCCTGGGCAGCTGCAATGTGTGTGCCGTGTGTTGGAGCAGAGATGTTACCGTGCGTGGAGTGTCAGAACAGGGATTGCCGAGTCACTGCTCCTGCAGCCTCACCACAGCTACAAGGAGCAGCGACTAATCCTCTGTTCATGCTGCAGGCATCGTATTTTGTATCTATAATCATTTTGGTTACTTAAGTTTCTTTTTATGTCCAGCGAGTGTTTGTTTCAAAGAAAATAGCACCAGTGTGTGGTGGTTTAGGCTAGGCAGAGATACTGCTAATCTGCTCTTCCCGATATTGTAACCATCCAGCTCACCACTAAGATAGCAGGGACCAAATTATTTCTGGCACAAGCTACTAAAACCTGTGGGGAGAAGCCGGCGTTGATTTGAACCCGTATAACCTGTGGGTGTTGTTCTCCTTAGCCTCACGGGTCCCACGTGAATGCTTGCGTTCATCTCTGACGCTGGATGCACGGAGAGCTTCCTCTCCAGGCTCTGGCTTGGCTTAGGACGGCTGCCAAAGCCCAGCTCCCCGCTTTGCAGGCTGGTGATGCCACGTACAAGGTGGGTTCCTTGTGCCAGTCCCTGCTCACCTCCTGGTGTGAAGTCTGCTCTTCGCCACCCCTCTGCCGGCTTTGGTGGGGTTTTCCAGCCGTGCATCCCGCAGGCTGCTGCAGAAGGACTGCAGAGATTGCGGTCATCAACCAAAATGGGTGGAGAGAGCAGATTTCTCCAGGGACAAAACACAGGGAGGTCTGTCCCATTAAATGGGAAATATCCTGCGTGGAGTTGACTCTTACCCATATTTTCTTTTTGGTTACAAAGGTAGGGTGTTTGAACAGAGGAGGAAGCTCAACAGCTGTCTTCAAGACAATGACCAGCTTCTTCCACTGTTAATAAAATGGGAGATAAAGCAAAGGCAGCCTTGATTCTTCTAAAATGTCACTGCTGCCATGAATTTTTGCAAACACTGGTGCCTACATTCTTAAGCCTTTTTAAAGTATTTATGGGGTTTGGGTTAGCTTTTTTTTAACCGTCCAAATCCAGAAGAGAAGAGTCAGGTGTTGCAGTCATCTTTTTGTATTAAACTTGTTTTTGTAGAATAAATTTCACTGGCTTGGTGCTGTTTATATGTTCAATTTAGCTCTGTAAATCCATATATAAAATAAATTTATTACAAATAATTTGTTACCTTTATTTTTAATGAGGAGTCACAGATTGTTCCAAGTGCTTTCACTCAGGCAGATCAAATAGATCTTGCTCTGGGGAGCTCACGGTTTCTAAGAATAAGACCGAAGATGGCACGGGGACTGCACGACAGCCTAGTGAGACAATGTGGATCCTTGTGACGCTTGGTGATCTTGGTGCAATAGCCAACAGTCTCCAGTGTTTGGTTGCAAATTAAATCTGTGTTTTGGAAATGGCTGGCATTAAGCAGAGGTGTGTATGAAAAGCAGTTTGCTTGTTTAGCTGCATTTTGTAGAGACTGACAGCTTGGAGGGCAGTGAAACTGTAAATATTAGTTTAGCAGGTTGCTCAGTTTTCCTGTGGCCCAGGATGAAGCAGTTATTTAAAGCAGGGAACGGGATGGTGCAATCAGTTGGTGGTGACGGACTGAGGGTGCCTCAGGCTTCGTGTGTTTTGCGCATCAGGTGGCTGAAGTCAACAGCCACTGCAGAAAATCCTGACTCTGGTCCAAGCTGCTGATCCTGTGCTGTGGCACCCTGGGGCCGCGGTTCGCTCGCCTGGTTTGTGGGATGTGATGCCAAGTGCCAGGTGATGGTATGAGACTGGGAAGCAATGCGGGTGTTGGATACAGCGCTGGGGAGCATGGATGTCCCTTCCTGCCCTTGCTCCCAGGCTGTTGCCTGTCATTGGACATATCGCTGGCCTCCTTGTGTCCCCAAGGTTGACACGCTTTAAGCAAGGCTGTGACAGAGCACTGTAAAAGGGGGGATACTTATGTCAAGGATGAAGATAGAAGGCCAAGTCTTGGGACTATTTCCCAGATAACCAAGGTTTCCAAGATTGCCTGGTGAGTAGAAGACACAAAAGCACATCTTGCTGGTAAGTCTGGGTTGTTTTTAGGGTCCGTTTCCCCGAGTGTTTCCAATTCATCTCTCACCCAAGCGTTAGTGACTCAGAACATGTGCTACCGTGAGTGTCAACTTCTTCAAAGTCTGCTCCCGAAACGGCACGAGTGGTCCATGAATCATCATTGCGTAACTTCTGTGGACATGGTTGACTCACTTGTGTTTGGTTAGAGGAATGTTTAATTAATGTAAGTCTGGATGACAAAGGGCGAGATTTCCACCGGCATGGGAGGAGGTGGCTCCGTAGCTGCCGTGGAAGTCGGTGGGAGCTGGCTGCCTCCTCTCCGGTGTTGGGTTGTTGCTAAGGTATGGGAATAAAAGGGAATGCAAGGCTAAATCCTCTCCTCTGAACCTGCATTCCTGTTCAGATGCTTTTCCCCAGGCTAGGTTGCTAAGTTACAGGTGAAATATATTCAAGGTTAGGAAATAGTCTTCACTATGGTGTAATTACATGTGCCAGAGGATGTTTGCTTTGAACCAAGCTGCCATGATGTTCTCTATGACAGTCTTCCTTCTTTCATTTGCTATCTTGAGAGCAGAGAAGACTGGTTTCATGCCACGCTCGCTGTCAAGCTCCTGCTTGCTCCGTACAAACTGTATTGGTAATTTCTGTGGCACCAGCAGTTTTCCCAGAACCCCAGGTCCATTCAAAGAAGGGGAGATCGTTGGGTTCTTCACCCCCCTGCCCTGCCCTGCCCTGCCCTGCTCTCCTTACAACTTGCATTTGCTCAACCAGAGTTGCAAGCATCCCCCTCCCACCTTCTTGCAAAGTATTAAGTTTCTATAAATAAATTCTCGAACAGTGGGGCTGATAAAGCCATCGCCTTCCCTTACTGTCAGAAAGAAAAATATGTACCAACAAGGAATCTAAAATAAAATTTGCCCTTTATCTTTTCATTTCCTGCTTCCATTTAAAGCCTTTCGCATTGAATGTTTTGTCTCCTGCTGACATGACAGCTGATGCTGTGCCTTATTTATGGGGCGCAGAGTCAGGGCGCTGTGCCAGTTCTCCTGGAAAGATCAACGTGAACTGGAGAAGAAAAAGCACGGCCAGCGAGTCCTGCCCAAGGGGGCCTCCCTCCGGCACGGCCCCTGTCCAAAGCAATCGCTGCCCAACGCCTCCCCCGGGGATTTCCACCGTGACTTTGTTCGACCTTTCAAGAACAGCCTCCAGGTAGGTGTTGCAAAAGGTTTTTGTCCACATTCATGAACGGACCCTGGCTGCAGCAGAGAGCGAGGGTTGAGCCCTCTCCCCCCTCCCCACCCTTCAGGGGGCTGCCAGCAGCTGCAGAGTGGACTCCAACACAGGGACCAGACCTCAAAGGAGCAAATTATTTTTATAGGGATGCTTCTGTAAGGCTGGTGAGGTCTGATGCGAAGCCCATGGGTGTCTCTGAATTGACTCTCCAAGATGAGGAGATTCCCAGTGGGTTGTGGAAACCTTGCTGGGCTCAGAGCTCATCCCGCCCAGGCCAGGCACTGGGAGCTTCCACCTAAACCAGCTCAGAAATGGGTCTGGGGGGTCCCTGCGCTCCCTCCAGCAGAGCAGCTCCTGCTTTGCTCACAGCCAGGGTCCCCAAGGTGCCACCAGCAGCAATGACACCTTGGAGAGGGGTGACCTGCATTTTCCAGCTGGGGCATTTCCAGCCCTGAGGATGGCTTGGGGCGACTGAGTGACCCAGCCAGGTTGCCTGGCCGGGGTGGCTGTCCTGGCGTCACTGTGCCCTAGTCTGGCACTGCTGTGTGAGCTGGGAGAGCAGAGAATAAAGTAACAGCAAAGACTTCAGGAGGGTCCAAAGCCTTTAGAGGTGGGAAGGGGAAAAAAAAAATGCACAGCGGGGTCGGTGTCAGCTCCTGGCGTGTCCTCAGCAGATTTTATTCTTTTTTTGTTTTTTAATGTCCAAGGCAACCCTTAGCAACACCGTTTTATTTCAGCTCTCCCCCAGATTTAAATTTAGTCCTTTTAATATGAGCCGGGCCCTGCACAGGTCATGTCAGGATGAGGCTCCGGTGTGCTGAGGTTAGCCCGGAGCTGGGGCAGCCCTGGCTCTCTCTCTCCGGGTTTGGTCTCTGCTTTTCCCAACGCCAGTGCTCACCCTGCCTGTGCCAGGGCTGGAGTGGGGACCGAGGCTGCAGCCTGCACGCTAGCCAAGGGTAACAATATCTTTGTGCCCATAATTAGTACCTAATTAGCATAGTTTTAATATGAGGCAGGGTTGCTCTCCCCTTAGAGCGCTCTGCTTTTTACAAGAGGCTGAGTAATTGCCTCTGCGGCCGCTCGGCAGCGGCAATCAGCCCGGCTGCCTGCACGGGGACCCCGCACCTCGCCCGGGCTGGGCTCGAG